TTAAATGATGATTTTGTTTACCCTTTTTGTGTTTTCGGCAAAAATTAAGAAGAAAGAGAGAAACTGTAAATAGGAAAAAATTATCAGCAATACAAGATCAAAATAAAAAAAAGATTTTTGTCATGAATTCTATTCTATATAGAAATAAGAAGATGTGGTATGATTGCAAAAGAGACAACTCTCCTCAAGAGCCCAAATGACACAGAAATTAACAACTACAGGTCACCGTACGGCCTTCAACAATGAGTAAAACCTATACCGCATAGTCAGCTATAAAAGGCCCCGAAATGACAAATTTAAAACAATTCAAACGAAAAAACTAACGGCCTGATTTATGTACAAAATAATGAATGAAACACAAATATGATATACAGCAACAAACGACAACCTATAAATTACAGGCTATTGACTTGGGACAAACACATACATGCAGAATGTGGCCGGGTTAAACTAGCCTGAAGGCGCCAACCCTCCCTTAACCTGGGACAGTGGGATAACAGTACAACATAAGAACAAACTATAAAAACTAGCTGAAAAGGGCTTACTCGTATGGATAAAAAGCAGAAATACATCGAACAAAAACACAAGGTTGACGTGGCAGGGTACTTATACATTCCCACAACAACAAAAAACACTAAGTACAAATCTGACAGTACTCGCAGTTACTGACAGCTAGTTCAGAGCCAATAACATCTAATAAAAAAATCATGCATCTAAGACTGAAATATCAATCAGTACACATCCAACATCAAATGGATTTAGTGTATAAAGACGTCATTAACAGTCAGAGAAAAACACGACCTTGTGCAATGCCAAGATACAGGTATCGACAGATTGTAGAGCCATGAATATATGCATTTGTATATAACAATAACATTTAGTTTGATTTTAATTTACTGATAACAAAATCAATATTAATACCAATAAAAACAATATTCAAAGATCTAATTATAGTGTTGAATTGGTAACCTTTTTAAAAAAAGTTTATTTAAAAGATCGATAAGTTTACACGCTTCGTATCTAAATTTCTGGGCTCGGTAAACAACATCTCCGTAAAAATTAGGATGTGCTATCCCGTTTGAAATAAGTTTTCCACGGGTACAACCAAACTTCCAAACCAAATAATATATCTATAGTAGAATTTAGTAAAGGTTTAAGTAATTTATGGTTACGGAATCCCTGACTTAATAATTTACAATTAATACATAATTTACGTTCATTGAAATCCAAATGTCACATCAGACAAGCGCATAACGAGTGATATATAGTCCACAATGTCAGAGATTGTCCATTGATGAAGATGCATATAGACCTAGGTGGGCGACACAGGATCTTTAGAGCCTTCAGTTTTATTTTCTGTAAAAAAAGGAAATTAAGTCGAAGAAAAAAAGACAATACCTTGTCCAAAGTAAAACGACGAGAAGGTAAACAACTATATGCATTAAACACGACATAGAAAATTATAGATTGAACAATGCGAACCCCATAAATCAAAGTACTGAAGTACTAAACATCGGATGACTGCAAGTTCTTGTGGATGGTCACAAGCACTTGTCTCAGAAAAAAAATCACATCTCTATACCTGAAAGTGAGGTTAATGTACAGATATATTTTTTTTTCTTAGACAAGTTCGTGCGTGGATGATAAATAAATGACAGGGAATTCAACCTCACCGTAATAAATATGATATTGAAGTGATACAAATCAGTATACTCTGGTTTGTTGTTATATATTATATTAATATTTGTATATTACAGTTACATGTATATATAATTTTCATCCATTTGTATATCATTCTATTCTACTATATTAATAATAGTGCAAGTGCATGGTGGACACTCTTCTATAATAATTCGATTTTTCTAATAGATTGGATTTGAATTGCATTCATATTTTCCAGCCAAACTTTCAATCTCCCATGCAGAGTTATCGGTCCTTGAGAGAGAGCGAGGACCGATAACTCTGCATGAGAGATTGCAAACGTTCTTGAGATATTCTTCCGCTTGCGTTAACACACATTTTCTGTACGTGTGGATAGATATTAAAGATTTTTACTTATATATATATTTCTAACGACAAAACATTTTCATATCATTAATTTATGTTCTGTAAAAATATTTTTAGGAGTATCCATTGAAAAAATGAATTTATAACAAGCGATAAGGAATGTTATTTTGCACTCGATAATGTCCGCGTATTTTATCATGTTTATAGATCGGTTACAATGTCAACACGAAAGTTACTTAATGGAAACCTAGGCGACAGCAATATACCGGAATGCCCTCACGGTCATCCGATGTAAAAATGATGGAAATCGCATGTGCTCCGGAAGGATTGCTTCAGACAAGAAGAAAAATTGGGGGTAAATGTAATAACACTATATATTTGAATTTCGTAAGTTTGAAAATTTTCTTGATTTACCTTCATTAGGAAATCTCAAACCGAAACATTTGAAAGCCAATGAGCGTAAATACGTGAATACATTAGGTATACCAAATGACCAAATGGCTTATTATTTAGTTCGCCTGACACGTTTTTCGTCTTCGTACAATTTTATCAGTGGATTACGAATCTAAACAGTCGGAAGCTTTAAATCAATTTCGAAGTTGAAGAGCACTGAAAATAAAATTTATCCCAAAAAGATCAGTCAAAGCAGGCGAATGCTATCTAAGACTGTGGATACAAAAACATATTCACCAGTGAATTTGAAGAAAATTGACATTGCATTTCGTGCTGATAAAGCATACATACAGTCGAAAGTCTATTGTATACTCTGTCAAATGAGTACTACAAAAATATATATGCAAACGTAATCTAAAGTACTAAGGACGTCGTTTTAAGCCAACAGTTTTATAATTTTACAATATCACTTGGCAGAATCGGATGCACGAAACTGAAGATACACGCATATGAATCTGGAAGACGCTGACACTGATGATTTTAATTTTTCACCGTTTCATGATAAAAATAGTCCAATCCGAGAGATTTTTTTTATCATGAAATGATATACTAGTATATTATGTCTAATCCACAAGAAAAAAAATACTTTAGACTTTTTACCTATAAAGAAAAATTGAGACCATACCATTTTGCAAAGATATGCCGTGGTTACATATTGTGATTATGGTAGTTTTTGCTCTAGGGATTGTATGGATGTCCGTAACCATGGTAACCGTTTTAAGAAATGCGTAATTTTATAAAGTGCCAAATTTTCTTGAATATCCAAAATGAGAAAAGTTCACAATATATCAAATACATACATATATATATATATACAAATAAGAAGATATGGTATGATTACCTCAATGATAAAACTATCACCAGAGTGTAAGTGATGTGGATGTCACCATACGGCGGCCTTCAACCATGAGCAAAACCCATACTGTATATGCAGCTTGAACTTTGCTTATTTCGACTGGTCGGCTCAGAATCTGAATACTTTAAGGGTGAAATGTCGTCCTGCGGAATTATAAATGGGCACTTGCGCGTTAAAAAATCCAGCCCAACGTGCGAACAGTCAGTTAACGTCACAGTACCCAAATTGCACCGAGTACCCAAATTGCACCTATTCAACAAAAATAGCTGCGTAAATCTTACAAGTTTTCTTTGAGACTTAAAAATTTGTATTTTTATGATTTGACATTATATCGTCTTTCAACATAGGTAAATATATTTAAATATACACAAAACGTTCACAGTTTATATCAACAGATGAAGCATTCACTGGAAAAAGTAAATCTACGGAAAAGTCGCCTTGCCGGCGACGTTCTCAAAAAGTCATCTTTTAAAAATGAGCAAATTAAATATGTTACAAGCATCCATTTCTTAAAAAATGAATAGTTAGCATGGACTAATCATGCTAATGTCAAATTGTTCTAAATAATTGAAGAAATAAAACAAAACTTCTGTTATTCGATTTTAAGGATGTGAATTTAAGCATGGATGCAATTTGGGTACTCCGCATTAATTTACAGAATCCTGGATCGTTTGGAGGTCGGTTCAAACCCATTTTTCTATGATTCAATATGGATTCAAAATTAGATTGGTGTAACTATATAGTAAATAAGGATACACATCTACAAAATAAACACAGAATGGAAACTTTTGTCTGGATCTTAAAAAAACGTAGGTGATAAAACTGTGAAAATGGGTGCAATTTGGGTACCCTCACGTTAGTACAAAACAAGGTTCGTATTCATATCACACCAACATGTTCTCGTCCTGATATGCATGTCATACTTGCCACTGGACAGTACACACAAATGCACTAGTATCATCGTCTCCTAAAAATAAACTGTTAAAAATAAAAGCAAACAACTTGGCAATGACCAACACATGGTCAATGCAGGAAAGTCTGATTTGATACATAAACGGTTAAACCAGTTTTACATACACAGCAACCTCTTCTATTGTCTATCTAGACCAAATGACGTAAAATTAATTGAAAACCATGCTTAGCTTCAATGTTAGTACCCGATGAGAAAATATTATGTTGAAAAATCATACTACAGTTTATTTAAAGGATCAACAATGGACAACATATGGGTCGTATCTAACATTACATGTTTTATTATAACTTGTGTGAAAGGTGCAGGAAAGTCTGATTTTTAGAAAGAAATTTAATTTATGAATTGCACAATCTTAGGGCAGTGAACCTTAATAAATTATAATAACAATCTGTGAACTTTATATCGTGTGAGACAATAGTTTAGACAAAGGAACTTTTAGTGATATATTTAATTTTTAATTTTTTTTTTTTTTTCCGAACACCACCACCAATCTTTTCAATTGGTAACCTTATACCTGTTTACGACAGGGTGCTCCGAAGTCAACGGAGGAATTTACCAGCACAACAACAACAACAACGGTGGCAACTATTAGATATTTTACATAATTAATACCTGTGTTTATTATTAAAAGTCCAACAATTTTCCACTTTATGTAGTTACGGAAATGTTAACCTCTATCCGGAATTGCCTTTCTGGCTTACTTTTTACTTTCATTTTACAGGAAAAGAAGAAAATGAAAGTACAGCTATTTTGTAAGCTCAGTATTCATTTCATATATAGAATTTGATCTGTTTTTTTATTGCACGATAGAACATACAGTTACATTCACAACCAATAATTTAACCTCCCTTTAATGAGACAAAATTTCATTACTGTCGATCTATGAAAATTTATTTATTGTCCAACAAATGGCCAAATGAAATTTTGTCCTTCTCTAAACATTTTTTTCATAGATGGGGACAAAATATCATAATACTCATTATTATTAATCATGAAATATTGTTTTTGGGGACAATATTTCATAGTACAATTTTTGCTTAACCATGTTAACAGATGCAGCATTTCTTATACCAAAATGTTTTCCTTCTATATATATAAACTATATACCAAATATCAAATCAATATCTTCAAGCAAGACAAAATAAAAAGCAGAAAACTTATTTGCCTGACTGACGGTTGGACTGACAGACAGACAGACGGATGCTCCGAGTGCAAACCTATAGTGCCCTTCGACTTCGTCGGTAGGGGACTAAACATACCAATTAGCCATATCTGATGGAGTAAAAAAATACTAACTAGTACAAAAAATATAGAGGAGGACATCCCATCCTTAGAAAAAATAATGCATAATGCTTTATATTCTTATTGATTTGTCGTAGAATGGTATAGCCTCGATGCATGCATTATGCATTATTTTTTCTAAGGATGTGATGTCCTCCTCTATATTTTTTGTACTAGTTAGAAGTATTTTTTTTACTCCATCAGATATGGCTAATTGGTATTTTTAGTCCCCTACCGACGAAGTCGAAGGGGACTATAGGTTTTTACTCCGTCCGTCTGTCTGTCAGTCAGTCCATCCGTCAGTCCAGCAAATCAGTTTCCGCTCTTTATTTTGTTCTGCTTGAAGATATTGATTTGATATTTGGTACATAGTTTTGCCATGCCATGTTTCAGATCAAGACAAAATTTTGTTCCGGTCTGACGATTTTGTGCAGAGTTATGGTCCTTCGACTTAGAAAATTCCTGCAAATAATTAGTTTTCTCATTTTTTTTTTGTTATGCTTGAAGATATTGATTGGATATTTGGTATATAGTTTTACCATGACAAATTACAGATCAAGGTCGAAATTTTATCCGGATCGAATGATTTTTTTTGCAGAGTTATGGTCCTTGGACTTAGAAAATTCACGCAAATAATCAGTTTTCCACACTTTTTTTCGTCATGCTTGAAGATATTAATTTGATATTTGTTATTTAGTTTACATGATGACAAGTTATAGATCAAGTTAGCATTTTGTTCTAGTACAATGAATTTTTAACCAGTAGGAGACTATGTATTGCCATGCAATACTCTCAAAATGCTCAATATAGTTACGATACTGTTGTCAGGTCATTAAAGATAGCATATTTTGGAATTAATATTGATTCACTCGTAGCGTCTTTGCATTGGAAATAAACACATTTATTCTAAAACCAGTTGTTGGGATGATATGAGTTATGCTCTTCTATATTTTATGATGGTATGATACTAAACCCCTAATGGGAGGGGTTGTGCTTGATTTTCATATAATGAAGACATAATTTTTCAATCAGTTTAATTGAGGTTTGGAGCTGGCATGTCAGTAACTGCTAGTAGTCCTTTGTTAATTTATGTATCATTGTCATTTTGCTTAGTTTCTTCTGTTACCTATTCTGACATCGGACTCGGACTTCTTTTAAACTGAGTTTTACTGTGCGTATTGGTGTGTGTTTGTTCATTCTACACTGGCTAGAGGTATAGGGGGAGGGTTAAGATCTCACAAAACATGTTTAACCCCGCCGCAATTTTGCGCCTGTCCCAAGTCAGGAGCCTCTGGCCTTTGTTAATCTTGTATGTTTTTTTAATTTTAGTTCATTTATATGTTTCGGAGTTTAGTGTGACGTCCATTTTCACTGAACTAGTACACATTTTTGTTTAGGGGCCAGCTGAAGCCCGCCTCTGTGTGCGGTATTTTCTCGCTGTGATGAAGACCCATTGGTGGCCTTGGGTTGTTTTCAGCTCTTTGGTCGGGTTGTTGTCTCTTTGACACATTCCCCATTTCCATTCTCAATTTTATTGTTGTAAATTACATTTTTCTCATTTTGTTCTCACAATGACTAATTTAGGTTTGAAAGCTTTCCTTACAAGTTTTCTTTCGATTGTGGCTATGACAGGTACATGCCCTAACATGGTCAGTTGTGTTTTTTGGTTCCATATCTAATTTCTGTACATTTTTTGTTAGTTCTATATTTGCTGAGAAAAAAATAATCAACCTGTCAGGAGATTTCCCGTCATGCCCGTCATGATTGAAAAAGATTTTTATCTCTTGGTAATTTAGGTTTAGTTCCAATGAATTTTTCTGCCAAAAATATCTTTAATAAAGGATTATGAGATGTTTTCGAGCAATGTGCAGACCAATTCAAGTCTCCACATAGAAGTATATTATAAGTGTTCCTGTATTTTCTTATTATTTCTGTCATTTGTTTTCATAGTAAGATCAAATTATTTCTGTCATATGTTCTCATAGTAAAATCAAAGAAGGCTGTATAGCGAAAAAAAACATTAAAAGTTGAAAGACCTTCACAATTGTTCAATTGTTCGATGAACAATTCTTTTGATATTAGTGTTATTGATAATTTAAGATCTATCATTTCGTGTGGAATTCAAAATTTAGTTGAATTCTTTGTCTTTTGTCTTTAATATTTTATAGAAATCGGCTATATTTAGATTCGGAAAGCGAGCAGGATTCCAACATGAACTGTTTCTTTAACCCTTATTTGAACATGATCTTTCGGTCAGAATAGAAGCAGAATTGCATGAGAGGATATTGGTTTTCTATACAAATATACCACATGTTAATTTTTGCACCTGCATTTTTATAGTAAAATGGGCGATTACAGACTTATATACATATATTCTTCCATGATGAAATGAGAAATTAGTAAGAAACTAATGTTCCAACTCACTCAGCTTAAAATTGACTTTTAATCGAGTTTGCTATTCTCTTTAGGTCTTTTTTTACTCATATAGCTCCTAACGTATTCTAATTATTTATTCAAGTTTGCGGATTGAGGGTGTGTGATGAAATTTAGATCCAGAAAAGCTCGTCGGGCAAATGGCATTTATACAAATTAGCCAAATATATACTCTTTACCGTCAGCTTTTTAAGAGGGATTTGCAATCTTAGTTTCCGTACACGTTTATAGTTATTAGTGCAACATGTTTTTAACTTGTAGTTGTTCATGACATAACTGGGCAAGATTTTTAATATTGCTCTTCATGTATTTACAGATTAGGGTAACAGTATAATTAGAAACATGTGCTTGCTGTTTATGTATTTAAATGACGATGAATGTGGGGATGGATACCGTGTGATCATTGCAAACAATCGAGATGAGCAGTGGGATAGACCAACAAAACAGCTGTCATTCTGGACAGATAATGAGGAGTGTATAAGTGGTGTGTATTATATAGTTAGGATAAACCTATAAATCAGCTGCCATTATAGATAATTAATGTAAAAGATATTAATAGTTTGTTTTATGCATTATAGGATAGACCCACAAAACAGTTGACATTCTGGACATGATTTCGAGTGTATTTGTGGTTTGTATAATAGTTTTTGTGATACAAATTAATGTTATTGCAAGGATCGTAGACATTGTGAATTGGATTTAATTCCTTATTGTAGTCTTTTAGTGATAATAATTGTTCCCTATGCTCAGTCTTTAGTTTTCTATGTTGTGTTTTGTGTACTGTTGTTTGTCTACTTTTGTCTTTTTCTTTTTTGGCCATGGCATTGTCAGTCTATTTTCAACTGATGACTTTGAATGTCCCTTTGGTATCTTTCACCTCTCTTTTAAATCTACCTTGACATTTAATATCAACACAGTGTAAAAGCATATTTTTATTTATTTATTTTTTTTTTTTTTTTTTTTAATGTTATCATATTTTATTGAAATCTGTACATTTGTTAATTGAATACATCGAATACCGGTACCTTATCCCGGCCTCGTTAACATTAGTAAATAACATATATATGCAGATATTAGTATTTGTTAGTAATTTACACATTATAATGACATAATAAAATAAAAATATATACCATAACAGAAATAACAATTTGGATGTTCCTTAACAATTTAAATAGCTTAAAATCAACTGTACTTTAAATAACAAAACAAACAGATATATATATATATAAAAAAAAAGAAAAAAAAAGAATAGATACAAAAACTCATAGTGAGTTCTGCATTATAGACCAGATATTGAAGAGAACTGATAATTAGAGAGAAAAAAAATTAAAATTTTTTTGCCTAGATGAATTTTAATTTAACATCCTATCCAATTCTGTCAAATTTAAACATAAAAGTTTGCTTCTATATGTTTGTACATTTATTTATTTAACTGTCAAATAATATAGTGAAAGTATTCCACATTTCATCGAAAATTTCCTGTTTCTTGTTTTTAACAGCAATGTGTTTCTCAATACAGTAAAGATCCTGTATTTTCTTTTGCACTCCAAATAATGTAAGTCTTCTCTTAAAGTATTTACAACTAAAAATATAATGTCTGATATGCAGAAAAATCAGGTTGGTCACATTTCTACTAAAAGCTTTTGAGATATCTCCAAAAATACAATTTTGAATAATAAAGGGAATACTTATACCATTTGAAAGAAACCAATGTTTAGTTTCATTTAAAAATATTTGTACAATCTCACAATTCCAAAACAAGTGTTCAATTGTTTCATCTTCTTTTTGAAAAAATGTACAATTTGGGTTATCCATTATTTTTATTTTATACAATAATTTGTTTGTTCCTAAAATACGCTGATTGATTCTATACTGTAACAATTGCAATTTGGTATTATTTGTCACTACAAAAGGTAGTCTAAAAATTTCTTTCCATTCCCCTTTTTCACAGTTTATAATTTCATCCCATTTTCTTTGCCCATTTGATATAATATTATTCTTGATTAGTATTGAATACATATCTTTTGTTCCCCTTGAGCTTCTCAACAGAATTTTCAAAAAGGATGGAATAAATGGAGTCAATAACTTATAATCATTAACAGCATAAATTTTTGCTGCTTTTTTAACAGCAGAAATAATAATGTTATATTTCATAGCATTTTCTTCAATATCAAAATTTTCCTTTAACTGGGCAATGGAGAGAAATATTCTAGTTTCAGACATAATGTCATTTATGGAACAAATACCTTTGTTAAACCATTCTACATAAAAAGCTGATTTATTACCAATTTTTATACATCTATTAAACCACAATGAACTTGACAAAAGATGATCCCATGTATGGGTTTCTTCTTTAGTAATAATCATATCCCATGCATCAATAACATCCTTCCAAAATTTGTTTTTTACATTATTTTTAATTTGGGATAAATATCCCTTTCCACATTTGAATAGTCTATCTCTATTTACTGTTGACAAAAATACATTTTTCCATTTACATTCTGAACGAAAAAGTTTTCTAACCCATGTTGATTTCAAAGCTATGATAAAAAGGTTAAGATTGATCATTTTTAAACCTCCCTCACAATATTTTTTTTGTAATATTTCTTTCTTTATCCTGTGCACAGGTGAATCCCAAATAAAGGTGTAACAAATTTCATTAATCTTTTTTATAATCGCATCACTAGGATTTGGTAATGAGATTATTAAATGATTTAAGACGGGTAGAATTAAAGTTTTTACCACAGTTATTTTACCAATAACAGTAAGATTTCTTCTAGACCAAGTTTTAATTAATTTCTTTATGACCAGAAGTCTCTGCTCATAATTTATATCAACAATTTTATCTAAATCTACATCAAAATGAATTCCCAGTAAAGTAAAATACGTTTTACCCCAGGATAATTTTTTTTCGGGACATAAAACATCATTAGTATATTTTTTGTTTCCAATCCAAACTACTTGCGTTTTTGTGAAATTAATATTTAGCCCAGAAAGTTTAGCATACCAATCTAATTCAATTAATGCTTCATTAAGAGACTGTTCACTTCCGTCTAAAATTAATGATGTATCATCGGCAAACTGTGATAACTTATGTTCTACTCTCGTCACATTTATTCCACAAATTTTTTTATTTCCCCGAATTCTGATTGCTAAAATTTCTGCACACAGTATAAATAGATAAGGTGATAAAGTATCACCTTGATGGCAACCACGTCCTACCTTAAAAAAATCTGAAAGGTTACCGCCTTGATTAACAGCAGATGAAATACTTTTGTAGAACACTTTAACCCAGTTTATAATGTATTCTCCAAAATTAAAAAATTCTAGAACACTATAAAGAAAATCCCAAGAAATAGTATCAAAAGCTTTTTCAAAGTAAATCAAAAGTAATAAACCAGGTATGTCATCTTCTTCAGTAAATTGTAAAATGTCATAGATTAATCTGATATTATCCCCAATATAACGCCCACTAATAAAACCAGTCTGATCAAGATCAATCAGTTTACATAACACTTTTTTAAATCTACTAGCTATAACTCCTGAACCAATATTGTAAACAGTATTTAATAATGATATAGGTCGCCAATTTTTAAGAAAATGTCTTGGTTTATTATCTTTTGGCAGACATGTTATAATCCCTTGTTTTTGAGTAACTGATAATTCCCCAAAATATATCCATAGTTTAATGCTTTTACAACAAATGACTTTAAATCTTTCCAGAAAAACTTAAGAAATTCAGTTGAAAAACCATCAGATCCAGGTGATTTATCATTATTCATCTTTTGTATAACACAACTTGCTTCATAAATAGTTATCTCCCCTTCTAGACTCATCTGTTCCTCTACAGATAATTTATTAAAATTACAATCTTTTAGATCCCTTTCCAAACCATATATTTATTTATTAACATTAAACTATAATTTACTTATTTAATACTTTTTTGAAGTTTACAAATACCGAATTTGAAGAAAAAAATTAACTTACTAAAGTACCAAGGTATTCTGAAAGATCCCTGTTGTTGATTACCAAATGGTTTCCCAATAATTATGTGTTCTTATGTCCCCTTACCCTAAAGACCAACCACTTTGATAATAACATAGGGTGAATCCGTCATTTTATCTTATGACTGGGTTTACCAATCACTATCTAAAATACCCCGTTAGCATCTATCTTTTTTTTTATAATAATTGGCTTCAACCGAAATAAATATCAAGACTAAAACATATTTTAACATGGCCATTTTTGAAATTAGTACATTTTCTTTATAAATATCTGGTTTATGAAAGTATTGTATTGTGCTTTAAAAACTGACTAAAAATATCAGGTTGATAATTTTTAAGCAAGAAGCGTGCTTAAACAAAGGTTACATTGCCATAGGCAAATTTGACTGTAGAATGTTTTAGCTCTTCTATGTAAGCACATTTGGTGTTAAAGCTTGCAAACAGTTTTGTTGAGGCTGCAACATTTATGTCGAAGAAGCGACACACAGCGATCCTACATTCCGTTGGCGTCGTCAAAATTTAGGTTCAATCTGTTGTTAAATCAATAACTTTAATAAAAACTACCTCAGCAAATTGAATCAAAACTATACAGATTCACTCGCAGGTCTGTTTTCTGAAAAGTTATGTAATTTTCACTCCAAAAACAATTTTGAATAATTAATAATTGAATTGTCAGAAAATAGATTAATATGACCACTTTTAATTCTTCGGAGCTAGAATCTAAAAAATATGAATCCTATTGCCAGTAAATCGATAAAGGCTAAAAACAATTTATCCAAGAATCCCTATATGCCAGATATGTATATTCGTCTACACAAGAATAATCAGTTGCCTTTGAATCAAAACAGTTAATGGAGGACATATTTAATTTTTCCTCAAAGATGCTTTGACTTATATTTTTGATATTACAAAGGTCTTGCTATGAACAGTCCTAATGAAGCTTCAACTCGAAGAGTTCGTACTTAATAATTATGCAGAATTTGCTTTTTCAATATTTAGTATCATGTTAATTGCTGGTAAAAAGCTCCTCTGAGTTGTATCTTGTGTTATGTGTCATGCATATGCACCAAAGGCTTCCAGCAAGATGGTTATTTCTTCAAATGTACAATCAATACTATGTTTTCCAGTGTATAATTTTACCATTGGGGCATCTATTAAAGTCAGAAGTAACACACTAATTTTGTTGTTATGTAATTAATCAGAATTGATCCAAGTACATTATAAATATTGAAGGTCAGGATATGACTCCAGGCAAAGAAAACGGCACATGGTTAGGAGTATCAAAGAAAGGAAGAATTGGAATACTACTCAATATCTTAGGTGTCAATGATTGTGAAAAGAAAGGAAGAGGTAAATATAAAAAAAGAAAGGATTGGAATACTAGTACTACTCAATATCTTGGTTATGAATGATCGTGAAAAGAAAGGAAGAGGTAAATATAAAGAAAGGAAGGTTAACAATAGTACTTTAAAAAAACAGAAAGGGTTAAATTTTGTAATACTGATTAAACACAAACTACCAAATATCTGAAATCAACATAGAAATTGAGTTTGATAAAAGTAAAATCGTAAAAAAAACAAGCGAAAATAACAAAAATTTGCATGTCATTGGCTATAAAAATGTAGGCTGCATGAATCCCACAGTCGCATTTTATATAGGTTTTTTTTTCTGACTGAAGAGTAAGGGCAGGTATAAAATCATTAAGAGTTCATTTAACCATTATTTGATGTGATATTGCATATCTACAAATACTTGGTAGTTCCCTAGAACTAGAACTATTTCCCTTCGTTTAACCTTAGATAGTCTTTGTTGCCGAAACTACTTTGAATGTCATAACACAACGTTGATTTCATTGTCATATAACTATGCACGATTCACATGAGTTAAATTCAATCTACGGTTTCACGAAACTTGAAATTGAAAGAAAAAATAACAGAGGTTTTGGTTGAGAATTAAAAGGATTAAGAACATTTTTAAGGTTATTGATGTCTAAACTGAACCACTGACTCACAAACCTTACATAACAGCCCGCTGGACTTTTAGTTAATTGCCCAAGTTTTTACGTCAATAATCTCTTGAAAATATGTGTTTAATCTGATAAAAATAAGGAAAGCAAAGAAAAAAGTGTGTTTTTGAAGGAATATAAAATGGGAATTTAAATATTTTGTAGACTGAATATATCTATTTGTATATTTATTTAAAAACAGGATATTTAGTTAATGAATATATTTCAAGTCAGAAGGATGGCCACCAATACATCAATGAAACAATAAAGCCATGTTCGAGTAATTACAACTCATTCAATCTTATCCTGATGAACCTTAGGTAAGACAACTGCTACATTATATTAGAATCATTCAATTACATATTACATCTCATCTAAATATTACATGTCATTTACATATTACATTTCATATACATATTACATGTCATTTACATATTGCATCTCATTTACATATTACATGTCATTTACATATTACATCTCATTTACATATTACATGTCATTTACATATTACATGTCATTTACATATTACATGTCATTTACATATTACATCTCATTTACATATTACATGTACATCTTTTGATAGCTTTGTGATAAGAATAAATCTTGATCATGTAAATGTATAACATTGTATAATGGGTTTACAGTGAATGAGTCAGCAACCGCACCAAACACTACTCAAACTATAAAAGTGGATATTTTTAAAGTTGCAATGGAACTATCAACAAAGAACGAGTGCTCATAATACGACAAACGAAAATCTCTATCACCTTATCTGAATGTAATACAGAAACTTGTTTTTCAGTTTTCCAAAGACAAATGGTTTATGTTGTTCCAATATGGATGGTGTTATAACTGAATTGGATATTTCCAACGGTAATTGTAAATGTTATTTATTAAAACCTCAATTTATATCTTAAATAACTAGAAACATGTACTTTGACTGACACAAAAAGTAATGAAATTGAAAAAAGAAATTTTGTAAACCAAAATTATCGTTGATCGCATAGCCATGTTGGATAAGTATGTATTTTCAACCATCACAGTTTTCAACATCTAGTGTATCGGGTCAAAGTTTACCTAGAAACATGTGTTCTGTTAAACAAATATTGTATTGACAATTTTAAAACCCGAGGAATATATAGAATAATGACATTTTTGATACTGACTTTTTCACCAAGAATAGTAAATGAGCCCTCTAGGGCTGACAATCGAGCTGATAAAGTCAGTAAAAAATAACATGCAGTTATTCTTTTTATCAGCAAATTGTCTAAACTATGTGTTTTTTTGCTTAGAATATAAAATTACATGACGTTGTAAGCAAATCTATTTTCTCACGAAATGTTACAGGGACAAACAAATACTGAACATCCATCTGTGCTTCTGTGCGTACTTCCGTCAGGTCTTGTAAGCGAGCTCACATGTACAGTTCTTTCCAGATTTTCTTCAAAATTAAATCAGAGGTTTATATCAGCAATGTTTGATACTAGGAGGTATACAGAAATTCTTATCCAATTCTTCGCCTCTGAATACCCCTTTTTAGCTAATGGGGAGTGTAAAAAGCAAACGATCAATCAAATGAATTAGCTTGTGTTGTAACTGGAAACAGCTGGTGTTTATTTTCTAATAGTTTAAATCATTTTCAATAAAATGATTGAAATGATGACTTTGTTGATTATACAGCTAATGGATGTGTTAAACCAAATTTTGTGAACATTTATGACATAATTTACATGAGACGTGAAATTTGGATTTTTTTATATCACTGTATAATAAGATGGCGGAAAATTAAGAGGACAAAGGTTTACCGATGTTTTAATCTCGTAAATTGATTTGATTAAAAAGAAGACAAATCTAGGTAACAAACAAAAACTGAGGTAATCGCATGAATTCCAAAAGGAGCTAGACCTGTTGTGTCTACAGGGTAAACGTTTCCTGCTATGCATGGATCACCAGCCATGCAAATTTATACTCAGTCCAAAGACATAAGATGGCGAAAAACATGTTGTCGCTAGCTAATGGGTTGAGATACAGACACATTATATTTGTCAACCATTTCGTGATGAAAGTACTATTGATTTCTGTCGTTCTTATTCATCACTCTGTTGGAGCATTTTTTGTGTAAGGAGTACAATCATGTTAAAGAGGTCAGTATCGAGTGATCATGCATGAGCGTATTAACTTAGATGTGTAAACGCCATACGATGAAGCAGAGTGTATGTTACATATGAGAAATGAGAAGTTAACAATTTGAAAGTAAGTTCTAGTTTGAAGTCCATCTGTGTCAATATCTATGAAAAGATCAAGATATGAAGCATACCGTCTGCTTTATTCTTAATCTCAAGTTTACTGGGAATTATGAGATGTGAGCCCTTATAATTATTAAAGGTTTTGATATTACTGCAAAATTGTAAAAACTGATTGAAGATTTTGGAGTAGATCTTTAGAGTTTTTAAGAATTCACATCTAATTGACACCACTGGTTGAATACACCTCATCACAATATTTCTGAAGGGCATCTTTTACTGTAGAAGGAATGTTAGTAAGAAATTTAGAAAGATGTTTTGTTTAACATCTTGACAACCCAGCTATATATCGTTGTTTATGAAGATTTTTGTGCTGTTAAGGTATCAGTATAAAAATTGTTATTCTGTGGTTTACATGTTGTAATGTACTATTTTATTTTTTATTTATGTATGTCTCTGTCTTGAGTGTTCTTGTGTTTAGTTATATTAATTTCTAATGTATTCCTGTCACGTAATGTTGTCATTTTATCGGTATTTTTAACATTGCCATATAAGTGGAAGGCTTGACTAGCCATAAAACCAGGTCCAACCCACCATTTTTTCTTAAAATGTCCTGTACCAAGTCAGGAATATGGCAGTTGTTATCAAATAGTCCGTTTCTATGTTTGTTGGCATTTGTTTTTGTAGCAGTTCAGTGTTAAATATGTTGTTCCATTGTTTTCCTCTTATAGTTAATGTGTCTCCCTCGGCTTTGGTTTGTGACCCAGATTTGTTTCAGTTACATCCATTTATGACTATTGAACAGTGGTATACAACTGTTGCCTTTATTTATGTTAACACCCAGATGAGGATTCAAGAATTGTGGAAAGGGATGGGGTGTTGTTCCAAATAACTGGATATATACCGTTGAGTGGAACGAGGAAATAAAAATGTTGAAGATTTTATATTAAAAAATTATATATATTATGCAAAATATGAGATTTTTTATTTTTTGGGCGATCCAAAAGGGCTTGCATACGCCATCTACGCCCCCTGGATCCACCATTGATACCAAATGAGAAAAGGACAGATTTGTGATGTTCTCAAATTTCTTCTTACGTGAATTATGTAGGAGTATATGTGGGATTCCCAGTTTTGCTATGAATTCCTAGTTATTAAGTCTCCCAAACGAAGTTTGGGGAGACTTATTGTTTTTGCTCAGTTCTTATTATTATTATTATTCTTCTTCCTCTTCCTCTTCCGCCGCTTTTAAATTTGAACTTGTCCGCACCTGTTCTCCAAAACCGCTTGTCAGATTAACTTAGGGTTTCACAATATGTTAGACTAACATGTCTAGTGGTGCAATCAGGGTTTTGTTTGTGCAATGGGGTTTATAAAGGGGTACTTTGAGGGGCAAAAAGAAAAGAGAGTTTTACTATAGAACCCTATGGGATTTTATTTTTTTAAATTTTCAAATGATTATAAATTGAAAACTGTTTGTGATAGACACAATCTTTTTAATTGAAAATGTTCTAAATGATAAAGCACATGAAATGAAATACAGGGTTAGTCCCCAGGGGTCATCCCCACCCCCTGCCATTTAAGAAAGTTCTAATACCTTGTAAGTGGTCAAGATCCCCACCCCTAAACCATATATATTCTGGTTTGTCATGCTAAGATGGTTTGAATGACATACAGGGTTAGTCCCCAGGGGTCATCCCGACCTCCTGCCATTTGAGAAAGTTCTAATATCTTGTAAATGGTCGAGATCCCCACCCCTAAACCATATATAGTCTGGTTTGTCATGATAAAGCACATGAAATGAAATACAGGGTTAGTCCCCAGGGGTCACCCCCACCCCATGCCATTTAAGAAAGTTCTAATATCTTGTAAGTGGTCAAGATCCCCACCCCTAAACCATATATATTCTGGTTTGTCATGCTAAGATGGTTTGAATGATATACAGGGTTAGTCCCCAGGGGTCATCCTGACCCCCTGCCATTTGAGAAAGTTCTAATATCTTGTAAATGGTCGAGATCCCCACCCCTAAACCATATATATTCTGGTTTGTCATGATAAAGCAAATCAAATGAAATACAGGGTTAGTCCCCAGGGGTCACCCCCACCCTATGCCATTTAAGAAAGTTCTAATATCTTGTAAGTGGTCAAGATCCCCACCCCTAAACCATATATATTCTGGTTTGTCATGCTAAGATGGTTTGAATGATATACAGGGTTAGTCCCCAGGGGTCATCCTGACCCCCTGCCATTTGAGAAAGTTCTAATATCTTGTAAATGGTCGAGATCCCCACCCCTAAACCATATATATTCTGGTTTGTCATGATAAAGCAAATCAAATGAAATACAGGGTTAGTCCCCAGGGGTCACCCCCACCCTATGCCATTTAAGAAAGTTCTAATATCTTGTAAGTGGTCAAGATCCCCACCCCTAAACCACATATATTCTGGTTTGTCATGTTAAGATGGTTTGAATGATATGCAGGGTTAGTCCTCAGGGGTCATCCCGACCCCCTGCCATTTGAGAAAGTTCTAATATCTTGTAAATGGTCGAGATCCCCACCCCTAAACCATATATTTTCTGGTTTGTCATGCCAAGATGATTTGAATGATATACAGGGTTAGTCCCCAGGCATCCCTAATGCATATAACTTTACTGGACCAAACCAATTTTCACTGGACTTTGCCCAATGTCAGGCGACCCTGGGAATTACGAATTATGGGAGCTTCGTTTGGGAGACTTCGTAACAGCATCCTGTTACAATCATTTCTTGTTTATGAGAAATATTCCAAATAATGATTTTTGCATATAAAAAATGTCGTTTGGTAGATGAAAAGGAAGATGAAATCAACAATAGAAAAGTGAGCATAGAACAAAAAAGCAGGTTAAACACGTTGTTTCTCTAATCTAGATTTACAATGACATTTTTTGCAGGTGTTTTTACTTGTGACAATTCATCACAAGGCAAACCGTGGCAGAAGTCTATTCAAAATAGAGAAAGATTTGGCAATATTGTTAAAGAATGTAATCACAAAGAAAAGAAAGATCAACTTGTTCAGGAACTACTAAGTCTTCTTACAGATAGAAAGACGTATGTGTATATTATTTAATTATCATTTTTGGAAAAAAGTTTTAAAACGTGTTTCATTGACAATTATATTTCATTTTATGTTGATATAGGATATAATACTATCATTCAGAGTTTGATATGATACTATTCTTCAGAGTTTGATATTTTGATATTATTCCGCGTTTGATATTATACTCTTATTCAGAGTTTGTACCATTATTCACAGTTTGATATTGTGCTATTATTCCGAGTTCGATATTATACTATTATTCAGAGATTGATATTGTACTATAATTCAGAGTTTTATGCGTGCATTTATTAGTGTGAATCTTTGACAACCAACAGCAAATGTGGCATAAGGAATACAATTATTGTACATTTTTCAGTATAAAATATTTCCCTCAAAAATTATAATGGTCGTATCAATTATTTCGTAATTCTATGAACCTTGTCACAATTTTTATTTTCTTTAATAATATTATAATTATTGAATTTACATTTGATTAGGTCAACCATTTTGGAATGTGTTGAGTATTACTGTTGCTACAGTTATTCATTTTGTTCTGTTTTATGAGTAAGCAAATGAAACTTCTCATGTAACAATACAGACAAATAACGCTTGAGTGACACAAATGTGGGAATATATACTCCATATGTACTGCTGGTATGTTGCTATATAAAATAGTAAATATACACTTCTGTTGAATTAACCACATAAATCTAGGTCTGGAATGTAAAAGACCTACCAAGGAAACACAATTACGTCAGTACAATGTAACTTGAAAGTAATTTTTAGTCTCATCTACGTCACTAACTAACGTTATTTTTACGTAGAAATGGATGGTATCAAATACGTCTTCCTGACGTAATTTTCAACGTCAATACAACCTATAACTGACCTTGAAATTACATACTTTACCTAACAATTACATATACAGACATAATAGCGACGTCATAATGACGTATTTCAGTCAAATTAAATGACGTCGTACTGTCGTAAAAAGGGGGGGGGGGACTTTTATGTTGGCAATGATGTTGTCTATTTGTCTACTAATTATGGTTTGTGATTGTCCCTTTTTCTGTTCCTTATGTTTGATCATGTTGATGGCACTTTCTAGTAAAAGCTTTCTGCACTAAGATAGCATGAGATGTTTCCTTCAGGCTTTATTCAGAATTAAAATCAGATCAACCTTCCATTATTTAATTTAATTGCTTCATTGATTGAACAACTTTACAATTATAACGTATTAGTCTATCATTGTTCACTACTCTCAGCATGGGTTTATTTCCTACACCGAACCTTGCTGTCATTCCTACACTGAAGCTTGATGTCACTGTGGAATTTGGCGTTGAATCTGCACATAGAAATAATAAAAAGAAATCAGTATTGCTATTAAAATCAGCCGCTCAAAATTCTTTAGTTAGGGAAAACTAATTTATTCAAATTCTACTCCCGGTGAGGTATGTTTAGCAGAATACGCGCTTACTTTGCTGTTGAATAGATAAACCTTCTTTCTGTCTGCATTCATATTTAAGAACAAAAAATGCATCATTGTATTGTTGTGAGAAATAAATTGAATTAAAATGATTTCTAAATAAATTGTATTGCACAATTTTATTTTATCTTGTTAATAACGTGATGCATATTGATATGACATAAAGTAATGATAAAATTATTAGAATCAGACTTTAAGTCGAGCATACCTTTTATTCGACATCCCTCTAGATCTGCTTAGGATGGGTGCTTCAAGCTTCTCTAATAAGTCTTCAAGGTCCACCATCTTTGATCTAGGGAAATTTTTATCAGGAGATTCGATATTAATCTAAAATATAATGCATGTAATAAAAATTTATTCACGATACATAATAGTTAAAACTTTGCATAACGGCTCTTATATGAATACTGGTTGTGTTTTTTTTTTTTATAAACTTTATACTGATGTCTTAATTAATTGTCAAATGCATGGTTAAATGTAAGCCATATAAAAATAGGATACTAGTGTATGATAAAAAAGATTATGAATTACTTAAACATGTGTTAAACATGTTAAACTTTATCCGGGATATCTAAATTTGTAAATATATATATATATATCTTTGATAGCTTTTTACACTAGACTGCAGAATGTATTTTTATACATTTTGCTGTATTCTCATGATTTAATACTTTTTGTCTCACTTGCAGGAATTAAAAGATGTCAATTAAATATAGAATATTTGCAACGCACAAGAGTGTGCATCAGATTAAAATAAATATCATAGATAATTTATGATATAATAATGAATATCGGGTAAACATGCACTGACCACAATTTATCAATTGTAAGAACATCCCTTATGGAAAAATAGGCTTCTTGCAAATATTTGCTGCAATGTTGCTGCAAATATTTGCGGCAATATTGCTGCAAATATTCATTTTTTGTATGCAAATTAGTTTTCTTGCAAACAGTTGCTGCAACATTGCCGCAACATTGCGGCAAATGTTTGCGGGAAAATCAATAGCTGTAATTGTTGCAGCAATATTGCGGCAAATGTTTGCGGGAAAATCAATAGCTGTAATTGTTGCAGCAATATTGCGGCAAATGTTTGCGGGAAAATCAATAGCTGTAATTGTTGCAGCAATATTGCGGCAAATTCAGTACCTGCAGTTGTTGCAGCAATATTGCGGGAAAAATTATTTGCGGCAATATTGCAGCAAATCTTTCAGCAATTTCAGTTGAAAAAATTAGGAAATGAAAGCTAGGCATTTAAAAAAATATGATTTAATGAAACAATCTTTTTTCTCTGTCATCTATAGGTTGTCCTGTTACATGTGTGTATATTTTGGTTCAGTGTCCCATTGTACTCGCTGTCCTTCAAGTTGAATTTACTGATTTCAAATACTGCAAAATAAAAGTTAAAGAATTTAGTATATATATAAAAAAATAACTAAACATTATAAAACTATTGTAAATTCTGGACTTGTAAAATGAAAATAACATTTTATAAAAAGATCCATAGGGCAAATTTCTCCTGTATTTGTTTCACTTGAAGGGTCAATGTCTTAAAGTTGTCAAATCCTTCTAGAAATTGAATATTCAGAGATGGATTTAGGGGTGGTGTAGCCCTCCCCCCTTTTTGAGCTTTTGAGCTACATAAACTGTTATTACATAGAATTTTTACAAGTCATACTCCTAAAGTTGACTAAAATCGCCCCCCCCCCCCCTTTTTCAAAATTCTGGACCAGCAACTGATATTTAACTTTAGAATATATTTAACCTTATGTCAGTACTGAGGTTGAAAAAAATGGACAAGACTGCTTTTTTTTAATATTTGTTTTTCATTGTACTTAACATATAGGGTCTTGTCCATTTTTTTTAAATCTTAATTTTGGTGCTTAGTTGTGTATATAAAGATAAATTGTTTTTGTCATTTGTGGATAGATGTCTTATTGGCAGTCATACCACAGATCTCTAAATTTACACCAAACTGATTTATTAGAAGATTCTTATTTTAAGTAATACTTTCTAAAACATATTGTCATAAAAAGATAAAAAAATTTCTCCTGTTTTAAACAATTTTAATAATATTTATATGCATAAATCTATTGTCTAATTTTTTTCTTGACTCTAAAAAGTTAAGAAGACACTTTAAATATCACTATTTTGAACTAAAAGAGCATGCACTTATTCAAAATGGTGGAAATTCTAATCCATTGTACTTACCAAAAGATGTCATCCAAAATATATATGTGTAAACATCAATTATCCTAAATCCAAGAGTCATGTCATCAGAAGAATACATCTGCACTTTTCAATGTCAATATAAATATTTGGAATTTTTTTATCTACATCCATTGTAAAATTCATATTTTGTTCATGATAGAAGCCATCTTTGTTATGTTGTGTGCATGTTCATGTCCAGTCCAAATTTTAAATTTGTTGATGTTGTTTAGGGTATCGTGCCAGTGTGATCCCTTTGAAATGTGCCCCTAATAATAACTGTTAATTACTTAATTCTTGAATGTTTGATATATATTATAATAAGAAAATATCTATTTATTATTATTTTTTTATCTTTTATGTTATAAGTTATAGTAATTGCAGAAAAATGTATAAAAACATGTTCTCCCCTTCATTTGGCCTCAAACTCTGTACATTTATAATACATCCTATCCACTGGCATTACACAGAGATACATGGAAAAAAGATGGCACATTAAATTTCTATCACCAGCTCATATTTCTTATTGAGATGAGAAGGAGGGCATGCAAATAATTTGTGTATACATAATTAAATAATGATACTAGAAATTAAACAAAATGAAACCTGCAACAGGTGAGGCTAAATTCATTTGATGGAAAATATGAAAATAAAAATATTGATCAGAGAAAAAGGTCACAAAACAAGTGACAAAAAGTCATAGGACAAAAATTAATATATCACAATTATTTAGTTTAAACTTGTTGAAATAAAAACCAAAGTATACTTGAAAAGATATCATAAATGTATTGTACAGTTTAGGAAATAAATGCTACACAAAGACAACAACATCGTAGATTACTGCAAGGAAAATCTTTATTATGGTCTACATGTTTCGCCACTTACGGTGGCGTCTTCAGGACAATTTAAACATAGAAAACAGCCTGTACGAAAAAATCCACCTGGAATTTACATGATTTTCAGACCGATTTTTTAGAGGGAATTCGTATTAAAGCCTCTTTAAACATAGAATCATTCTTTACATGGATTCCAGGTGGATTCAGGGCGGAATAGGGCCGAAATATGCAAATTTATCCGCTTGTCTTGGGGGAAAAATTCCATCTGATTAAAGGGAAAATATTTCTCTCCTGCAATATTCCGCCTAAATAGGCGTTAAAAATTTCCGCCTTATGAGGTTGAAAAAATTTCACCTGTTGAGGTTTTTTTCCATTTTTTGCGAAGAAAAAAGAGCTTTATCAGTTGTTACAGTAACAATTTAAATGTCTTTTCAGTGTTTGGTGCACAAATTTTTCTTCTGTTAAAATCTCAATTTTCTTCATT